CTGGTCTGGCACAGAGTTGTAGCCATTTCTTCCAGAAATTTTTCTTATATTATATATAGAAATTATTTTCTATTCTATTATTTTGATTTTCTTCATCAGGTAATCCATTATGCAATATGGGATCTCCTGCCTAGCTTCCATATTTATCATTTTCTCTCTAAGCCTTTCAGACTTGTTAGTTTCCATTTCCTTTTGCTTACTTTTCTAAATCCTGTCCTCTCTGTCCCTCACTGTGGTTTTCTTAAGTGTCTTTACTCCTTTGTAAACTTCCAATTTTGGTTTCATTTTCCTGGATAATTTTATTTTATTCCACTTTTCTTCCTGCAGTCTTCCAGCTCACATTTCATTTCTTTCTAAGTTCACCCACAGCCCCCCTGAACTTTTTCATCTCAGCTTTATTTAGGCTATTTTATTAAGAAGACAAATGTATTATGGAATTTTCCTTCATAGATAACAATATTTTTCATTTATAGAAAAATTACAAGTATAATACAAAGAACTTTATTTCCTAATCCACTGAAAATAAACTGTCAATATGAGGTCCCATCACAATCAGGAACTTAACATCGATGTATTATACTATTACTTTCCACTAATTTTCAGACTCCATTCAGGTTTTACCAATTGCTCCAATAATGTCCTTTATAGCAAATGGGTCCAATTCAGTACCACGTGTTGCATCTAATTGTCAGGTTTCTCTAGTTTCCTTCATTCTGCAACAGTTCCTCAGGCTTTCTTTTACTTCCATTACATTGACATGTTTAAAGATTTCAGACCAATTATTGTTAGGATGTCCCTCAGTTTGGGACTTTCTCATGAGTAGATTCAGTTTACACATTTTGAGGGCATGAATATTTCAGTAGTAATACTCGTTTCTTCTCATTGATCTAACAGGTGGTGGTATATGCCAGGTTTCTCCGTTAAAAAGTTACTCTTTTTTTCTGTGTAATTAATAAATATTTGGTGGGAAGTTGCTGTAGATTATGCAATCTCATTCTTTGTCAAACTTTCAATTATTAATTAACTTTAATCAGTATGGACTTGTGGTTTTCTATTTATTCAATGGGCTATGCCTGGTTAGTATTATTTATTTTTATGCTGAAATTGTCTCTGATTTGGAAGTAGCAGCCTTTTCAAGCTGGGTTCTGTGTCCTTTGCTATGTCCTATTATTCTTAGAATATTTGACTTTCTGGCACAACAAGATCTGCTAGGTTCATCTTGAGCTTTCCTTGTCCCAGCTAATACTTGCTACTTATTTGCTGAATGAATGGATGGATTATTCTAACCCGCATGACCCTGCTCCTATCTTTACCCAAAAATCCTTTCCATGACCACCAATAACCAACTCGTTGCCAAATCCATTAGATTGATTTCCATCAGTATTCAACAGTTGTCTGCTTACTTCTTAAAACACTTCCTTTTCCTATAATGACCTCACTTAATTTCCTCAATGTTGGATGCTGAAATCTTAGACCTGAGCAGTCTTCTTTTTTCATTCTATATTCTCTCTCCAGATTACCTCATTCTCTTTTATTTGCTTTAAATATAGACTGTATACAATGATTTAGCAAATATGTCCTATATCACTTTGTCACACCACTTGAATTTCTCACGGGCACCTAAAACTTCGCCTATCCAAAATTACATGATTGATCCTTCCCCCAAATCTGTCCCTCCTTCTTCAGTGGTATCCATATCAGATAACCCATATCAGATACCTTTATCTACCCAGTTAATCATGTTAGAACTCTGGGCATCCACCTTTATACTACATGCTCAACTCCTGTGAGTCAATCCCTTGCCAAGTTCCCTTGTCAAAATAAATCTTGAATCTATTCACTTCACTCCATCTCCATGTCCACCATTTATCCAAGTCAAAGTAATCATCCTGTGATCTCACTTATAGGGGGAATACAGGGAAACATAACAAAGGATCAGGAAAAAGATAAAACTTGCAGGCTAACCATAGATCTGAGGCATAGAGCGGGGGAGGGAGAGTATTAGAGGGGTTAAAACAGGAGAGGGAAGAGCACAAGGGACAATGGTGGTGGTTCATGGGTGCTGTGGTGGTGGGAGAATTATGGGGACTACACCTTAGGGGAGAAATAAAATATTGTACAAAAACACATGATGTACAGGGTGTGAGGGGGGAGTAACCATCCTATCCTATTGGCATGTAGCATTATAATACCTTTAGTTGGCCCCTTATTTCCATTCTTCTGTGCCACCTGACAGCCCTAGATAGTTATAGACTAGAATTCCTGCTCTCTGATTCCCTTTCCCTAACTTTTCTAAACATTTTTTTTTTTTTATATTTGTTAATGACAGTATACTGACTAGTTCCTTAGGGAGGTCGATTAATCTTATCCATTATACACAGACTATACTAGTTTAACTCACTGGTAACCTTATTTCTAAGATCTGTAAGAAGCAATATTTTTTTTTTGTTTTAGTTGTTTCTTTCTGTTGTGTAAATAACAAGAATTGAGCAATTGAATAGTTAATGGCCAAATGGAGGAATCTGGACATCAGGATTTTACAACTATTCTGACCTTTGATTTTACAACAAAGGCTCCACGGCACACTGATTTTTCTTATTAGTACACTATGTAACTCAGACATGTGGTGAGAGGATGTCCCCTGGGCTAAAGTCTCCCTTCTTTTAAATATATGACCCCAGAGTATATGCATCCTATGATTTAATTTTTAAACTCCCAAGTAAGTTTCCACAGCAGAAATTTACTGAGAATTTGTTGAAGTTGTATTCAGTGGTGAGAGCACCTCAAAGCGTTAATGCTGTTTGGAAAAGTTGGGCAGAGGTCCAGAGAGTCTGTGCCAATCAGGTCATCAGCAAAGGCAAAGCCAGCATTTTATCCCTTATTCAGTAAATGCCTAGAAAAGTCTGTTCCTTGCCACTGTGAATGCTGGTTTCTGTTTGGAAATTATGCAGAAATGTCATAACAAGTTGCTTAAACACTATAAAAATGACTTACTTTTTTATTTTAAAAATGTCAGTTTCTTAAGAATACTTATCAGCCTTTTAACTTTTCTATAAAGAGTCCTGGTTATAGAATATATTTTTAAAATTGTCTCCTACCCCTTTAAATCTCTTTGTTCCCATTCAACAACTTTCAAGACAGTTTCAAAGTGTTATTATTCAGGAAAAAAAAAAAAACAAATACCACTCCAAATGTGACCATTGTGTCAATTTAACGACTTATGCTTTGGTCCTGATGTTCTGTTTTTCTTAAGTTAAAAGTCAAGACATGTCTATTTCAAGTAGCCCTCAGCACTTAAGCCATTTCTGGGGCTTTCAGCTTCACCCATTGGAAAGACAGGCTTGGGAGACTGCAAAGAACCCCACAAGGCAAGTAAGGGGAAGTTGAGTTTTAAATTCAAATGGATGAGGCATGTAATCCCTAGTTAGTCATCTTTTCAAGCAAGTCCTGCTCTGGAGTTGAGTGCAGCAGGTGCTCGAGGAACCAGCCAAGCACAGCCAAATCTTGGAGGACATGTTTCAAAACAAAAGAACCTTATTGACTCCATAAATCCCCTGGAAAAATTCCATCCAAAGGCCTTGTCAAAGCCTGTAACAGCCCCCTGCTGTCTTCTACACACACACACACACACACCTTTGTCATTATTGCAGTTCTAGAGTCTGATCCACATTCATCACCAAATATTTACTTGAGCTCCTACACTGTACAGAACACCTTGCCAGGTTCTGTTTAAGAAACCAGACCTTGGGCCTTTCTGGTGGCACAAGATGTAACCTATGAAGCTATCCTCAGCCACTGCAGCATGAGTTCGATCCCTGGCCAGGGAGCAGCCCACGTGGCACAGCAGACCTCTTGTGACTCACCTGCTGCTCCCCTCAGCAGTGTATTTCTGTCGTCTGCCTGTTCTGCTCCCCACTCTGTCTCTGGTGAATCCTCTCACCCCCCACACCTCTGGTCTGTACCCCAGTTCTTGTATGCATAAATAAATAAATCTTTAAAAAAAAAAAAAGAAAGAAACAAGACCTTACCTTCAGCGGGCTTCCAGCACATTTGGACAAGGGATCATTACCTGTGAAAGAACAAGCTGTGTCCCATGTGTACTGAATGGAGTAAACACCCTAGAACACATCTTCAAGGGCTGGGGGTTCTAGGCAAAGTCTCCTGGAGCACGTAAGGAGATCGAGTAGCATATCTGGGGATAAGGGGCTGTAGAGAATGAAATCCTGAGTTGTGTTCTCAGAGGGCCGCTGGGCGGGGCTTTTACAGACTTAAGACTGTCTAGTGGGCACCTCTCTCCCCTTGGAACACTTGACTGTTTCTCAGAGAGGAGAACGCCTTAAAAGATTCGGGGCAGAAATCTTGCTTCTAATATAAGAAGCAGAGTCGGTTAAAAGAAAGGGGTTCACGGATTCCTTTCACAGCATCTTTACACTGATACATTAAGTCATGAGACGATGTACCAATCCATTCAGTCCAATTCATTTCTGCCACTTTGCTTGGCTACTGGGGACATGGGACCAGCATGGACGCTGCATTACTGTGGCGCCTGTTTCTCAAAGTCTAGACCACAGAGGACCTTTAGCCTCAGCATTCCCAGAGCTAATTTTACAGACCGTCAGTCCTCACCTCAGACCTAGACTTACCCTATCAGAATCTCAGTCTTCTACCTCCTACTGCTCATGTCTGTGCTTTCGCACCTAGAGTTGGAGAACGCTGCTATTGCCTCTGTAAGCTATTGCCTCTGTAGGCTACTTCGGGACAGCTATGTCTGCTTGAACGTGAGGCAAACAAATAGTGCGCGATTGAAGCAGGCCGCGTAGGGGGCATTTCTGAGGCCTGCAGCCGCTCGCCAGCGCCTGCTGGGCCCAAGCTGGGGAGGGAGCAGCGAGGCCCCGCCCCTCCGCGCTAGCCACGCCCCCTCCGCGCTAGCCACGCCCCCTCCGCGCTAGCCACGCCCCGGTTGTCAAGGAACAAGAAGCCCCGCCCCTGCCGGGCGCGAGCCGCGGACCCAAACCCGGCCTCCTGCCTTTTACATCCGACCCTCAGCGGTGCTGTCACCAGAACCCTCCAGCGCGCTGCGGAGTGCAGCCTCCACTCGAGTGAGAGAGAGCGACATGGCGGCGACCAAGTCCGAGAATCTCTCCCTGGTGGTGCACGGACCTGGGGACCTGCGCCTGGTAAAACGGAAAGGGAATGCGATCCCAACCTGACCTTCCCCCACTCGCCTGCCTCTGGGGTCAACCGCTGCCCCAGCGCCCCAGTTTCAGCCGGGCGGGCCTGGGCCTTGCACCTGGCGTGCTTTGGCGGCCCCGATCCCAGCTGGTTAGCGCGTTGTGGGGAAGGGAGGCAGTTGGCTGTTATTGCTAAGGTGCTGAGGAGAGGGATCTTGTAGGTGCGTCCTGGACCTGGCCCCGTGATCTGCACGTGGTTGGAGCCCAGGCCAGTTGCAAAATGATTAAAGCCTTCCTCCTTTGCCAGTCACAGATTTGTAGTCCAGCCTCTTGTCGTTGCACTTTGCAAAAGAGACGCCAGCAAGACTGCCTGATTTAGTCCTGCCTTGAACTTCTCTGGGCAGACAGTGTAAGGCAGAAAGGGGGACCAGAGGGACTCTTAACAGATGTGGGAACTTGTATTTAATCTCTCTTACTTGGGGCTGACAAAACCTCCTTTGCAACATTATTATTATCATGAGAGTGCTCAGCACTTAGTAGTTACTCAGATAGTGCCAGCTCCTTTTTCTCTCCAAAACAGGCCTCCAGATCTTTAGGACTCCTGGTGTTGCTCCTTCAGGTGTCAGACTCCTGGATCTTGATAGTGTTCATGGCTTTTTTTTTTTTTTTTTTTTTTTTAATACTGGCACTGGGTACACTCAGAGGCGCGGGAGGGTGAGAGAATTCACCAGAGCCAGAGCGGGGAGCAGAACAGGCAAAAGGACGGAAGCACACTGCTGAAGGGAGTAGCGGGCGGCAGGAGAGGTCTGCGCCCATGTGGGACCCTCCTCAGGTGGCCGGGGAGCAGCGGGGGATCGAACCTGCGCTGCAGAGGCTGCGGGCAGCTTCGCAACCCAGCGCTCAACCGCTGCACCACCGGTGAGGCCCGGTCTTCATGGCTTTAAAGCGCCTATCTTTTTACCCCCTTAGTTAACATAAGGTTCACTTTCCAGCTATTTTCCTTGTCGCTTTAAAAACATTATGTATATTGGTCTGTTCCCTGGTTCACCAAAGTTCAGGGAACTATAGTCAGCCCTGTGGTTCTGCCAGGGCTCCGTCGACAAAGTCCATCTCAGATGGGCCTGGAATGTCAGTAGGTATGTGGGAAGCGTGCCAGCCATCTCTGCTATTCCCTAGTGCCTCCTCCTTTCTCACATAGAACATGTACCAGGATTTAGTATGTAGAGACTCAGATTATCCAAATTAGTAATTCTTGACTATTTGGGAACTTGTAGCCTTTCTCCACAGAATGCAAACAGACTGATTTTGGCAACAATTGCAGAGAAGTCTCTCCATAGACCCTCTAGGGGTCTGTGGATCCCAATCTAAGAATTTCTGCCTGGAGCCAAATCTCCATTTCCTCATGTGAGGACAGTGTCATCCCTAAGGGGACAGGCTGAATAAGTTAACAAAATCCAGAGAAGGACCCAAAGGTTCAGACTTCCATTCCAGTGCTCTCTCCACTCACCTTGGAGCCTCTCCCTAGCAATTAAAGCAACACTATTAGTTTTTATTGCTATAAATCAATATAGTATTATGAGAAAGGGAAAGTGGCACATCTCTATACAGCTCAGTGATCTCAAATTCATTCCACAAACACTTAGTGGATGAGAGGGTGCCTGCCATATGCACGGCACTGGACTGGGGCTGGGAGCCCAGAGAGGAGGAAAAGGACATAGCCCCTACTGAGAGTGGCATAGGTGTGGGTGCTGGTGCTGCCTGTCAGTACCAAAAGGCCAATAAGCCGAGAAAGGAATTGAATCTATAAGCACTTTTATTTTTCAGATCACCAGGCAGCAATCTGAGAGAAGGGGGGCAAAACACCTTTCTGCCTTCTCATCTAGAGCTGGACTTTTTATATTAAGTTAAACAAAGACAATTAGTCATAGGCAAACAGCCTGTCACATTGGGTCAGTATCTTGTACATGGCACTCATCTTGTACATCACATATCCACTCACCTTGGAGTCGATCCATCACAGTTGATGTTCCTGGTATTCGTCACATGCAGCCCCCAGAACTTATTATTACCCTCCCGGTTATCTTGACCCTGGTACAGCTGATGGCCTCCATGTCCAGCACTCATTTGAGCATCATCAGGCAAGGAATCTTGGTTTAGAGCAAGAGTTTTAGTTTAAAGAAAACAGATCAGGGCCTCCCCGGTGGCGTAGAGGTTGAGCACTGGGTTGCGAAGCTGCCCGCAGCCTCTGCTAGGCCAGTTCGATCCCCGGGATCCCCGGCTCCTCCCCGGCCATCGGAGGAGGGTCCCACATGGTGCGCAGACCTCTCCTGCCGTCCGCTGCTCCCCTCAGCAGTGTACTTCGGTCCTTCTGCCTGCTCTGCTCCCCGCTCTGGCTCTGGTGAATTCTCTCACCCTCCTGCGCTTCTGACTGTACCCAGTGCTTGTATGTATGTATAAATCAATCAATCAATAAATAAATCTAAAAAAAAAAAAGAAAAAAAGAAAACAGATCATTGGTCATATAGTGTGTACATGCAGCCTAGGCTATGTGTGTCTGTGCAGATTCCTATACTAGGTATGGCACTCTTTCCTGCCTCTCTAGCCCCCGTCACTACCCCATACCTGTATGGGGAAACAGATAGTTGTGAGAGCATTGATGGAGGAAGCAGAAAGCAAAACCCTCACAGGGAGGGACAATAGCCCAGGGAAGAGACTCTAGGGGAGATGATTGTTCCTTGAACTGGTTCTTAAAGGATAAGTTGGAGTCATTCTGGTAGATGGAAGAGTACATGCAAAGATATGTGACGTACAAGATAAGTGCCATGTACAAAATACTGACTGATGTGCTGATTGCACAGATGGTGAAGTTGGAGTGGTCCACAGGAACTTGCCTCTCCATGTGCTCAGGGCCTGCCTTAAGGTCATGTACATTATAAATAGTAGAACTAGAATTGCAACCCCAGATTCTGCTTTGCTTTAATTCTTAATATCATTTTCTCCCCTCTGTTTATCATGGCTCTGTAGAACAAAGTCTTGAAGACTGGAGGGGGTGTCAGCTCACCTTAAAACTGACCATATCAGCTTTGCCTTAGAATCTGCTCTCTTCCTGGCTTAGGGACTTTGGGTTGAGGTAAATGTAGCCTAAAGGCTTGAGAAAATGTAATGTGCTGGAGAATGTACCCTGTGGTTGTGGGGTTGGTCCACCAATGTAAAAGGATTCAGGGCAGATTCAGAAGGAGTTCCAGGTCTGCTTGAAAGTAGGAGGTGGTAAAATCAATTTACTAGATGAAAGAAGATAAAAAATCAGATTTGAAGATGTGAATTTAAGAAGTCCCTGGGACAGAATTTAAGGTGTCTTTGCGATGCCACCTTTATTCTAGGGGTGTGCTGGGATATAACATCTGCTGGGCTAGGCAGATGTAGATTCCAAAGTTATTTGCATCTCTCCCTCCCTGCCCAGAGGGCATTTGGAAACCTTCAAAGGGGATTTGTTATCACAATAATGACAAAGGGGCAGACTTCCTAGAGCTTACAGCACTGTCTTGCACAATTGTGCCCAAAGTCATCCTCTAAGGGGAAACTATCAATAGATAAACTATGCTGAGCAGGATGTGAAGTGAGAAAAAAAGTGATGATATTACCTTGGAGAAAACCCCCAAAAATAGAGGGGAAAGGGCATGGACTGAAGAGAGTGGCCTGTGCTGCCTTAGAGACACCTGTGACCTAACACAGACCATAGGCCCTCCTGGGTCCTTGCCACCATCATAGGTGGCACCATCATAGGATACCCTACCCATAGTGTATCTCTGCTCCTCTACTCCCTTCCTTAAGGCAGATAAGAATTTGGAGTCACTGGTACTGGCAGTGAACCAGAGAGAGCGCAGGGATGATGGGGGTGGTGAGGGGTAATTGTGTTATAGAGCAAGGAGAGGGGCAGCCCAAACCCCGCAAACCTGCCTATTCTAAATGGGTTCTGCCATCCGCCGCATCAACACAAAACATATGAGACTTTAATGGGAAGGAACTTTAATAAAAACTAGGAAACAATACAGGTAAGGCAAAGAGTCTAGTTTCTAAATGAAGCACCCAAAGTTACCCGTCCCCTCGTGGGTAAAACTCCATCCATATGGGATCGGCCCAGAGCAAGGCCCCAAAGCCTGCCACAAGTCTAAAGCATCTTCCAGTGGGGATCCACAGAAAAGAGTCAGAAACAACCAGACAAGCCCGGAAGGAAAAGAGCAAAATCAACATCAAGATAAAAGCTGCCATGGTCACCTCCCCATGGGTCTCACCCACATCTGTGTCACCCCTTCCACGACCAAAAGACAAGCGCAGCTTCTTCACGTGTCTCTAGGCTCCATGCGCCTCCTCCAGGTCTCCTGGCTCCATCCTGCTTCCTTCCTCAGTCTCTTCTGCAGCTTCTCCTCTTCCTGCTCAGCTCCACCCTCCCTTGGGTGGGGCAGGGAACCTCCCCCTTTCCTGGGGACCACCCTGTTACAATTGGTTCTCTTTGTGGGACAACCAAGTGAAATCCATGACTTCCTGATATGACCATTTGGGCTGACAAGGGACGGGGTCTACAGGGTGTACAGATAGAAATGGTTCACACTTCAGGAACTCATGGAATGGGTTTGTTTGGGGAAAGCCCATTCCTAAGATCTGAAGCAGGATAGGTAAGGGTTCTGAAGCAGGAAGCAAGGACTCAATCCTTCCCAGTTCTTCTGGGTAAGACCAGGGACCAGCCAGCAGCCTGTGCAGTGGTTCTGTGGGAAAATGTGACCTGGGCCACTTGAAACTTTGTCCCCCACCTGACAGGAAGGAAACCTAACACCCAGCCTTCCTCCTGCTTATGGAGAAGGCAAGATTACCTTTTCTTTCTTTCTTTCTTTCTTTTTTTTTAATATTTTTTAACTTTTAATTTTAAGCAATTCTATGACAAACATTCTCATAGTCTATATTTATGCACTTGTCCGAGTATATCCTTTTTTTTTTTTTTTTCTTATTAA